ACTTGCAAGTTCAAACCCCTCCTACCTCTTTCCCCGCCATTGACGAGTTATCTCATCTTTTACAAGAAAACGCTTCCCCGCCAAATACAAGTTTTTACAGCTTTCCGTGTTTTCACTGTTATACACTCGCGGGCGCTATTACGCATCTTCTGAACGAGTACAAAACCTCCCGAACAAAAACACACGTGAACAGGACGGAGAAACGAGCTATCTCTTATGTAAACAGATGCATATGAAAATCATCAGCAATAGACAGCATATAAATGAAAACCGCAAAATGTTACGGAGTAAAATGTTGATCCAGGACGTGGTATATGTCTGTGCAAGCTTTGGAGGTGAAGCGATTTACTGGATTTATGCTTTGATAATCATACTGAATATTATCCAGATGTAGTTTTTAATAAAAATGTGATTTTCTCACCTTTTTGACCAAAATTATGCATTTTTTTATGAAACGTACCTATATTCAAGTGTTGATAAAAAAAGAATGCTTTAAGCTAGAATAAAACAGATTTTTTTGGGGTTTAAAAGTAGAGGCTCTGATCTTTATTTTGGTATATTGCATATTCAAATATTCATACTACAGCAAAATATACTGGAGGCCATCAAATTTGAGTGAAAATCATCAAAATCACTGGCACCTTTTTAAAAAAATGCTGGCGGGGAAAGAGTTAAATTATCAACAAAATAATAATTGCTGTTAATAGTGTTCATCGTCTGCTTGATTACGTCTTTAATTGATTTTCCGTACATTTCTGCCATATGTACATTAGCTGACAGTCACCACTGATAAGCTACCACTAAATATTGTAGAAACTTAATTGTCTGTAAAGTTGCTTTGCAACGATTTGTATTTGATTTTGAAAAGCGCTATACAAATAAACTTGAATTGAATAGTAGATGGCTGCAGAGAAGTACTTAGTTATAGGCTTATTAGCCATTTCCACTCCCTAATATACATTTTTTGTATTTATTAAATTATATTTAGACATTATGAATGACAGTAATAAAAGTTATTTTCTGTTATTTCTATTCACTGGTGCCCTACAGTGGCTCTCGAAGTCAGAAAAGTCATAACAATGTTAGAAGAATGTTGTCTGTGGTATATTTCCACTGCAAAACAATAAGAAATACAGCAAATATCACCGCAAATTTTGAGAAAAAAGGCGCAGCACGGTCATTTTAAGATGCAAAAATCAGAAAAAAAGTCCTGTGAAATCCTGGAGGGGCTGGTTTAATATGCTTATCAGTGGCGACAGCACCTCATCCTTTGATAAAATTCTATTGAATTGAATATTTTGTACCTTCACCAAAGTGTCCAGCAGCAGCGTGGCGATGGATTTCTCCTCGTTATCCTGCTCAAACAACATCTCGGCCACAGAGTCTCTGGAAAACAGCAGAGCACGTTTCAGTAAGAGGCACAGAACGTGGGTCAGATTAATAAACAAAACCCCGTCTGTAAGAGAGAGCGGCCCCAGTCAGCAGGAGGAAGCATCGGAGACAATAACCATCTTAAAATCTGTGGATAAAAGCTTGAGATTAATAATATCAAGACATCCAATGGCCATAAACTTGATAGTCAGCTAGAAAAAATAACTCTAGGAGGAACATTATGATAAATATATCCACAGATATGTGACTGCGAGGTATTCGAGTTGGGAAAAAGCAGATCATCGCGTCTGGTTTGAAGGTTTTTTTTACCTGATGGATCCCTTGATATGCAGAATCTTCCGGCCACCCAACGGATATTCCACATCTGGGGGAGGAGCTGGTCTCTAATGGACCAATCAGAGCGACCGTGAATATTTACTCAGTTAACATACTGAATTATTAATCTGAGATTAATCTTAAACATGTTATTGGTAAAACTATATATATATATCTAATAAGATAACAAAAATCTATGACGTATGACGTATAAAAAAAAATATCACAGATGAGCGAAACGCCATCATTTGTGCAAACATTAAAAAAAACACTGGAGAAAATGCTACACGTTACACAGTTTATACAGCGTGGGATAATTTTTATATTATTTAATTAGTGCATTGTGTGATTTAGATTAAGTTGAATTCAGAAAGTGTTTATTTTATTCCTTTGATAATGTTCATGCTTCATTAAATAAAGTGTTGCTGGAAAATTTATTTTTACTTTATTATTTTTTTAATGGCATGTCGTACAATTAACAGAAAACTATATAAAACATTTAATTCTAAATTACACTACCAAATTTGTTTTTCTCACCGAGCCTGCTTTTATTTGATCAAAAATACAGTATAAATTGTGAAATATTATTATAATTTAAAACAGCTGTTTTCTATGTGAATATGTGTTAAACTGTAATTTATTTCTGTGATGCGCAGCTGTATTTTCAGCATCATTACTCCAGTCTTCAGTGTCACATGATCTTCAGAAATCAGTGTAATATGTTGATTTGTTGCTTAATTATCGATTATGATTGTGAATATTTGTTTTCTTTCCTGATATTTCTAGCGATTGATCATCTGAATCGACTGACGGCTCTAATAGTCGCGTGTTCTCTGACCTCAGCAGATCCGTCCATGTTAAATTTGGCCTCCTGGATCTTCATGCCCCTCTGCAGGTCACTAACGAAACACACTCGCACTAAATACAGACACACCGACAACACAGTTAGCTGTTCAAGTCAACACGAAACAGTGTTCGCAATTTTACAGACGAGTCAAGAGTAATGTAGAGCGAGACATGATTTTATGCATGAGGAGGCGTGTCTATATGACGTACCTTTGATATCCTCCACGACATCCTCTGGAATAGAGCCTGTGACGAAGACCAATAGATAATCAAAGCCTGATGGATCAAATATAATACAAAGTGTGTGAAGCGTCGGTCTTACTGATGACGGTGGGCAGACTGAGGCCAGTGCCAGAGTCGGTGTCTAGCGTGCATTGCTCACTCAGCAGACTGTGCAGCTCCCTACAGAGGAACAACAGCACTGAGAACACAAGCATCGTGATCTGCACACAGCCTCTCTTATATCTGATGCTCCACACATACCTATGAATGGCTTTTCCTCCCATCGGCAGAGCTTCCCATGCAGACAGGATCGGAACGCCTTCATAGATCTAGTGCACTGTTAAAGTCATCTAAACACTTCAATACACAGATAATATTGTGTGTGAACACAACAGGTGAAGACAAACATGTTTTCCTTTAGAATAACATCACTACTCAATCATTCAGACCAGGAATAAGAATTAAAGGAATAGTTGTCGCACTCCATCACTGTCTCAGCAATGGGTGCCGTCAGAATGAGAGTCCAAACAGCTGATAAAAACATCACAATAATCCACAAGTAATCCACAGCACTCCAGTCCATCAGTTACCATCTGGAGAAGACAAAAGCTGAAACTAATCCAGCATTAAGACGTTTTTAACTAAAATGCGAGTCCATAATCCATAATAACGCTTCCTCCAGTGAAAAAGTGCATCTGCTGTTGTCTCTCACATCAAAATCCAGCCACATATGTGTTTAGAGCTGTTTAAACACTGCTTGATCTGTGCAGATTTCTCTCCTGATTCACACCAGAACACTTTTCTCACTGGAGGAAGCGTTATTATGGGTTATTATCCAGCTAACAGGGAATGTTCTCAGAACGTTATGAACAAATGTTCTTCCAGTAACATTAACAGAACGCTCATTCGACGTTATCTAGCCTGTAATTGTGGACTTAAAATGTTATTTACACATTGTTTATGCCACCTTTTTTACTAAAACCTTTTATTTGGACGTTCATCTAAAGTTTTATTTTTTAAATGTTACACTTGTTTCAGAGAACATTCAAAAGTAACGTTCCCATAATGTTTGGAAAATGATACAAATGGAATGCTCGCTTAACGTTTGTATAACAGAAAAAAAAAACTTGGACATTTTGAACATTCAGTAAACATCCAGAAATAGCATTTTCATAACATAATAGGAACGTCAGCAAAATGTTCTAAGAACATGTTTTTGTTTAACTGGTATTATGGACTCATATTTTAGTTAAAACGTCTTGATGGACAAACTCATCCTGATCTTGGATGAACTGAGGGTGAGCACATTTTCATGTTTAATTGAACTATTCCTTTAAGGGCTTATTTGCTGTCAAAGGATTCTGGTAGCACCAGCGTCTCTGTATATCCACAGTCCATGACGAGAGCAGACTGGATGCCCAGAGTCATGACAGACATCAGATGACTCGGAGCAAACAGGACCGATGGGACCTGCAACAGAAAGACATGAAGAAACGTCTTGAGTAATACTTACTATACTGCAGATCTGCTTTACATTATTTACATGAGAGAATTTAGGTACCAGCTAGAAATGTGGCTCATAGCAGATCTTATTTTTGGTTTGGTGTCCAAATGAATGAAAGCATTTCTAAATATCGGTCAATCTGGCTTTCCAAGACTCTATTATTTTCCCATTCGTGTTCTTTATTTTGCTGTGAAACTGCGTTGGATAAGAATGATCATATAATAAAGAATGTGATCTTTTGATTTGACACAATAGAGGAGCCATTAATATATGAGGACGTTTTATTTTAGACACAGACGCAGCATGACTTCACCTCAAAGTGCTTAAAGAAGACTAGACAAATATCGTCCTATCCTAACAAACCATACATCAATGGAAATATTATTTATTCAGCTTTCAGCTGATGCATAAATCTCAGTTTCACAAAAATGACCCTTATGACTGGTTTTGTGCACCAAATATCCAATATTAAAATAAAGATGCAGGAAATGTCAGTTTAATATGATCATGGTAATTAATTATTACGATTAGAAATAGAGATAATTCCCATAAGAGTTCTCAGACTGACCTCCGGAGATCCGGCGCGTTTAACTTCACTGGGAATGATGAATCTCGGCCCCGTCTCGCCGGCAAAACCACATCTACACATCACACACACAACACAACAAACCAGAGCATCACACATCAACATGAGCGGCACAGCTTACTGACACAACATGCCTAAAGAAAAAATACTTGTGCTTCACAATATGATATTAGGATATTTTATAAACACAAAAAATATTAATAAAAATGTACATTAATCGCATGACATTTCAGGTCATATATTCGAGCACTTAATACTGTAATATAACAATAATACTATTATTTTTTATTTATTTGTAAAACAAATCCTTTTTAGGACCATTTTTACATATATTTTTATATTTAGAATTTTTTATAATATTTTTACTCCGCATACATCAGCATAAAGCCTTTTTAGGACCATTAAGATGTAAATATATTTGAATTTTTTTTTTATATATAATTCATTATAATATGCATAAATCAGTTTAAAACCTTTTTAGGACCATTAAGATTTTATATGTATATGTATATATACACTAGTAAACATCTGAAGTGGATCAAAACCTAAAACCAAAATGCGATGTTTTCTTAGGACAACTTTGATGTATGTGTAAGTGTGTGTGTGTGTGTGTGTGTGTGTGTGTGTATACTTAACCTCCAACTCACACACTGGCGAGTAAAATCTTAGACATCATTTAGTCGCCCAGAGTAAGATTTAGTCGCATATGCGAGTGATTTACTCGCAATGTAGAGGGTTGTACATATACATATATATATATATATATACATATACACACACATATTATATATATATATATCTTATAAGTCTTATAAGTTGTCATTTGACTAAAACATATTTTATATCCCGACTTTATTATTTCTATTTTAGCCTCGAGCTAACAGCTCCGTTGCCGCTCACTTACTTTGTGTAGGCCGCTCCTAAATCAACGACTACGGCTGTCTTCTCCCCTCCACTGCCCAAGCCTTCAAACAAGGGCATTTTTATCGATAGAAATGAATAAAAGTATCAGAAAACAGAATTATTATTATTATTATTAGTGCGTAAACACAGCGCAGACACTCATAGCATCAGACGGAAGGGCGGGGTCCTTCGCAATGGCTGCCCCGCGTCTGCCTGACTGACAATCATTTCGTTAATACAGCGAACAAACAAACATCTTCTACGCGTTTATATAATCATACTGCTGTGTTTGTTTCTGTGTGAGGCTGAACCCGGATCAGCTGTAGGAGCCAAAGGCGCCTGTCTGAGGTTCACGAATTAATATGATAAGCACTAATTTTAAAACTCTAGCAAATGTATTTAGACATCCTAATTTAATTAATTTCATTTAATTTTCATTATTTATTTATTTCTTATTTTAATGTTTTATTTATAAAGAGCTTTATCATAAACAAGCACATGTGTTTTAAAAGTTTTAAAAGAGTATTGCCATAAAACAAGTCATTTAGAATGTTAAAAAATAACAATAATCATAATAATAATAATAATAATAATAATAACAGTTATTAATAATATGAAACCAAAGATTAGTTTTTAGCCAAACAATTTGTAAAGAGTTTTATCATTAAACAAGTACTTAAAATATAAAAAATAATAATAATGGTAATAATAATAATAATAATAATAACAATGGTAATAATAGTAATAGTAATAATAATAATAATAATAATAATAATAATAGTAATAATAATAATAATAATTACAATTAATAATTATTTGAAACCAAAGTTTGATTTCGAGTCAAAAATGTTATCATTAAACAAGTACTTCAAAATATAATAATAATAATTAATAATTTGAAACCAAATTGTCAAAATTAATATATATATTTTTAAAGATTTGTCATTAAACAAGTAATTTAGAATGTTTAAAAAGAAACAATAATCATAATTAATAATAATAATAATAATAATAATTTGAAACCAAAGTTTGGTTTTGAGTATAAAATATTTTTTAAAGAGTTTTGCTATTAAACAAGCACTTTAGAATGTTTACAAAATAATAATAATAATAATGAATAACAACAATACTAATAACAACAACAATTATTATTATTATTATTATTCCTACTACTACTACTACTGATAATAAGCATTGTTATTATTAATCATAATACTAATTACAATAATAAGCTGTATTGTGATGTATCCACTAAAAAGAGCACACGTGAGACGGCACGTTTGTCAATTGTCTCAAATGCAAAATTGTAAGCATTTAATACATCACGTGTATTATAATAATTTATAGAGTATTTCCGATATGAGAGGAAGCTCGAGCGCAGCCTGCTCTGACGCAGACACAGTAAGAGCGAGCGCTTGAACGCCACTAAACGCCAGGAACACTGCCAGAACACTGGACACGAGACTGACGACGCGTCCACACACAGCAGGTGAGCACGAGATTCATGCTGGTTCACTTCATCATGAAGCTGAGCAGTCAGTGTCTGCATGCATTAACGCATATGACTCGCGTATGCAAAGACATTCTGCGCTGTCAGGAATTACGCAGCATATTCTGACAGAGATGACAGTCCAGAAATCACGCGTTCAGTGTCAGAACACATGCATGCATTCTATAAACACGCCTGCAGTCATGCTTGTTTTATAGGATGCATGCAGAGCAATAATGATGAATCAACATAACTGCATGATAGAGTAGGGCGCATTGTCTCTGTGCTATTTTTAGACGCTGGCAGTGAATTGCTGTAGTGTGTGTGTCAAGTTACTGCTGCAGAACTGAACGAGTAATGTAGACTATTACAGAATGGATGGAGAAACCACATAACATATATCATCATGAATATATTCATTCAATTCTAGAGATATATTCATCTGGTTGTTGTTGTTGTTGTATAGCCAATACTGTTCATTTTAAGTGTGCTATAATATAATATTATTTATGTTCCTTTGTAAATTCTATTCTTTATATAAAAGCAGCATTTTAGACATGGCAGATTATTTTCATGGTGATAAATTATACATGTCAAGCAACTCTTAAAGAAATAGTTCACCCCAAAATTAATTAGGATGAGTTTGTTTCTTCATCAGGTTTGGAAAAATGTAGCATTGCATCAGTGTCTCACTGCAAGTGAATGGGTGCCGTCAGAATGAGAGCTGATAAAAACATCACAATAATCCACAAGTAATCCACAGCACTCCAGTCCATCAGTTAACATCTGGAGAAGACAAAAGCTGAGACACATCCAGCATTAAGACGTTTTTAACTATCCATAATCCATAATAACGCTTCCTCCAGTTGTTTGGACTCTCATTCTGACGGCACCCATTCACTGCAGAGCATCCATTGCTGAGACACTGATGCAATGCTACATTTCTACAAACCTGATGAAGAAACAAACGCATGATGGCCTAAGGGTGGCACTACGAATATCCAGCGACTACTAAATTGTCCCTAGCAATAATTTTGATCAAACGATTAAATATATGTGTATGTAAGCACTGTTGTTGTAATTTCGGCTGCATCTGAAATAGGTCGCACCATTGATATTACATGAGAGGTTAAAGAAATATGCTAGAAAACTGCACACATGGATGGATGCACTTTATTGCACTTCTTTTAGACTGTTGAACAGAAACACCCATTCACTGACTGACAAACTCCGACTGATTCGTCTGAAAGAAGAAAATCATACACACCTAGGATGCCTTGAGCGTGAGTAAAACATGGGGTAATTTTAGGGTGAACTAACCCTTTAGGAGCAGGTTTGCGAATCATTTTGTGAATTGAATGATTCGCGATCCGTGCTCCGAAGTCACGATCTGAAATGATGGCTCGCGAATCATTATCCAGATCGTGTATCGCGAATCATTTGATTCAGATCGGGACTTCGAAACAGGTTCGCAAATCTTTATTTTTTCTTCAGTAAACAGTACAAAACAAACCATTAAGTCAGTACAGTTATAAAAACAAAACAAAAGAAAGAAAGTATTCACAAATACAAATTCCTTAAGAAAATTAACCATGGTTTTATTATAGTAAAAGTGTAGTAACCATGTTTTTTTTTTGTATAACCACAATTTTACTACAAATACCATGGTTAAACTCTAGTAACCATGTTTTTTCTTGTCTTTTCTTTTCTTTCTTTCTTTCTTTCTTTTTTTTTGAGTAAAACCATGGTTAATTTTCACAAGGGATGTGGTGCCAGGTTATCAAAAAAAAAAAAAAGTAATAAAATATAGAGATGCTTAATATTTTCACTGCTTTAGGATTCACAGAAGTTTAGATAGTTTCCATATACTCGTCTAGATCAACTCTGAATAAAGAAAACAGATTTTTGTTTCTGTATGTGACATTTAGCTAGCAGGAAACACATATGAATTAAGTTATATTTTCCTATATTCTCTTTTGAGTAGTCAAACTGAGTCAAACTTCTCCAAAGGAGATCAGATGATCATAATGTCTCTGTGTGGTTCACTGACAAACAAGTGAATGAATCTTCCTCAGAAGAGACAAAAACAGCAGCTCACTTCAGTGTCTGACTTATATTAGAATTAGGGCTGGGTTTTGACACAGATTTCACGATTCAATCCTCATTCACAAGCTGGCGATTCGATTCGATTCAATATCGATTATTCTGGATATATATCAGGTACAGTACATGCCAAATTTTCTCAAGGAAAACTTATGCTGTAAAATATACACGAGAGTCAGTTGGTACTGCATTACTGTAATACTGAAGGTTAAAATTAATGAAGTTTTTACAATAATAAAGTTACAGTTACTTATTAATATTTCTAACGTACTTCAATTCGGTTTTTTTTTTTTTTTTCATATAAACAATTTAAATGGTGGCTGTCATAAAAACTTGATGGATTTATTCAAAAATAAATTAAACATTGAAGAACAGTAAAATGTATAATGAATATGTTATATGGTGCATAT